ATTGTTTAAAAAAAAAATCATAAACTACACATCCAATCCACCTTCTTTCAGTCCTTGAGATTGGCCCATGGATATAAACGAGGACGCTCGGGGTAAAGATTATCCATTCAGTGCTCACATCCGCTTAGAAACAGTACACGGTAGGTGCCTGCATCCGCTCTCTGACTTATCCACTGGTCCCGTCTGGTGGTTTATTCAGATTACAGGGTGTCAGGCACAGGCCTTTGGCAGAAAGCGAGGTCAAAGATGGACCTCTGTGCCCTAGGTTAGCATGGTATCCTTGTCTGCTAGTGCCTGCTTACATAGCAACGGGAGTCCTTCCCTTCTCCATGAGGCCTCTGTTGTCTTCTCCAAGTCTGCAATATGACCTTTTCCTCCAATTCAGTTAGGATTCCCCCCACCCAAATATTTCAATCTTACTCAGCTGATTACTACAAGGAACCAAGGAAAAGTATCCCAGACACCTTAATTTAAAAACCTGACCTAGGGCGCCTGGGTGGCTCTGTTGGTTGAGCGGCTGCTTTCAGCTCAGGTCGTGATCCTGGAGTACCGGGATCGAGTCCCGCATCAGGCTCCCAGCTCCACGGGGAGTCTGCTTCTCTCTCTGACCTTCTCCTCGCTCATACTCTGTCTCTCTCGCAAATAAATAAATAAAGTATCTTTTTAAAAAAAATAAAGAAAGAAAGAACCTCACCTAGGGGCACCTGGGTGGTTCAGCCGGTTGGGTCGGTTTCAGCTAGAGTCATGATCTCCCAGGGACTGAACCCCCAACAAAGGGCTCAGCGCTCAGCAGGATATCTGCTTGAAAGGACTCTCTCCCTCTGTCCCTCCCTCCACTCACAGGCGCCCACCACCCCCCAAAATAAATAAATAAATCTTAAATAAGTAAATAAATATAAAAAAAATAACAAAGAACCTGACCTAGAAATCACCATATGGCCACCAAGATTTCAGCTCGGAAAGGAAGGCAAGGAATGCTGAATCATTCTGCTCCTCAGAGACAAACTGTTACACACCCTCGTTTCCAGGTCAGACGCATTTTTCCGGTCTTGATGCCTGTCCCTGAGTTTGTGACTATACTTGTTTTCTGAGACCAGAAATTGTCGTTGTAAAGGCCCGTGGGTGGTCAAAGAACTTAATTTGCATGGGGGACTGTGCCCTCAGAGAATGCCTCATCACAGAAACATTCAGACATCCAAACATGACTTCCCAAACAAACCCAATTATGGCAAAAGTCTCCTATGCTTCCAATTAGCCTCTCAGGCCCTTCACTCAACCATCCAAACATTAACTGGAGGCCTACTGGGTACCAGTTACGGAGCACGCATCTGGGGGATTCCCAGGCGTGGAGGGAGGGAGGGAGAAATAGAGAGACTATAAACTTTGTAAATAGATAAATTACAATAAAATATGACGGACGCTATTTTCAACAACGTTACTTGGCAGCAGAAGGGAAAGGGATTGCCTGAGGAGAGGGGAGGGGAGGGAGCTCAAGAAAGACCTCGGAGAGATGAGGGGTGTGAGCTGAGCGGAAGGAGGAATGCGAGAGAGCTGGGGTGAGGGAGAGGGAGCAGACCCCATGGGCACCGCGGGGACTGAAGTCAGGGCAGGCAGTGCGCCCATGGGGTGGAGTGGAAGGGAGGAAATCAAGTTTGCTGAGCCTGCAATTCCTGAGTACTGGTCCTGCCAGCCAGTACTACGTGCCAGACACCTTACTGATGTTTACAGAGTTAATCTGTAGAAAGAACCCCGACCTCTGCCTGGTCCATGATAAACACCATGCGTATTTTGCTTTGACTCTGACTGTGTATTTGGGTGACATACGCACCACCACACTAGCCCACGGTAGAGAGTAATTAAGAGATATCCGTTGAACAAATGAACAACTTGCGGTTTCCAAGAAGGAATGGAGATGGGCGTGGCTCTCATTATGCCACTTCCTGCAGAAGGGTGAAGGGAAAGCGTCCCCTGCAGGACTGCTTCAGCCACCCGAAGGTCATTAACTCTTCCCGGCGGCCATTCCCACTCATCCCATGCAAACCTACGCTGGGGCAGCAACATCACTCACCACAAAACCTTGCATGTGCACGACATCTTCAGCTTACTCGTATTACCTTGTTTAAATAACTGCAAACGTTAAATCCCAAACTTTCCATCTCTTGTATGAATCCTATTTCCAGACAGAACCTGAAATTTTGGTTTCTGGATTTGGGGTCCTACTAGCCTCCACAGAGGGAAGCTCAGGAAAGAATTTAAGTAATTGGCTGACGTCCTGCTCCGACTGTCCCAAAGGGACTCCTGCATGGACCCCCTTGCACTAATCTCGAGAAGGAGACTTGGTAAAGGGGGTACATTAACTTCCTAAATTTTAAAATCCCTTTGCAAAGTCACTGTCTAGCCTCAGGGTAATTCAACTCAGTTCAATTCCACATCCACGGAAAAAGGTACCATGGGCTGCAAATGCCCTCGCACATGCTTATTCTGTATCCAGAGACGGGAATTAGATTGGGTCTTGAACTGTAGTTAGCTGCTAACCAGCTGGATGGCACTGAGTATCTTTGAGCGTCGGGTCCTTCATTAGTAAAACGAAAGGGTCAGGATGGATGATCTTAAAGGCTTTCCCAGCTCTCACCCTCAATAATTTGCGAATGGGAAGTGTCATTAATATCGGTAACTATTTCTGCATTTCAAAGCCAGTAAGTTCTAGAGTTTACTCCAGAAGAATACTTGGCTCAGCAAATTGCCAAGGCTTTTCTGTAGTCTGACGATAGAAGAAACTGGGAAATAGAGCGCATACCTTTATTCACTCAAAAAAATATTCACTGAGTGCCTATTACTGCAAGACCCTGTTCAAGTCATGATTACAGCAATGAACTAGCAAAGGAGCTCACTCTTTGCACAGAGCTTACCTCCTTGGGCTTCGATTAACCCACCCCCATGACAAATAAATCTCATCACTGCTTTGGATGGCAGGAAGAGTGATCTGATAGGTTTGTTTTATGTGTCATGAATTGTGTCTGGGTATCTCTGAATTAACAAAAGATTAAAACTCCTTCAAAAAATCCCTGTCTGCAGTTACTCCAGCGACTATATTTTCTCATAGTTTACAAAGAACTTCTGGTTTGCAAAGAGACAGACACATTCACACATGAATTCCTATAAAATTTAAGACACTAAACAAAAGGGTTTAAAGGGTTTTCCTGCAGAAAAAGAATTTAATTTTCTTTCTCTAGGACCAATTCTTTAAAATGGTTTGTTTTTTTAAATTTTTTAAAAAGTAACCTCCATGCCCAACATAGTACTCAAACTCACGACCACCCCCCCCCCCAAGATCAAGAGCTACATGTTCTACCAACTGAGCCAGCCAGGCGCTCCTCAAATGGGGTTTTAGACACAGAACAGAGAGAATTTTCCCTACTCCTTCACAGAATGCCGGATGGGTCTCCAACAGAAATATGATGTGGAACTTCAATTGCTGTACTTCAAAAACGGCATCTTTACACGCTGCAAAATAAATCAATAAAATGAAGAGGAAACAAACTAACGCTGGGGGTAGAAAGATGTATATCCTAGATCTAGATCAGTAAAAGATAACATAATTCCACTGAACAATTTTAGAGCTAGAACAACCTTAACCCTTAGTTTTATATAAACAAGAAACCTGAGGTTCAAAGACATGAAGTGACCTCGTCAAGGCAAAGCCAAGATACCTGTTAGCAGCAAAGCTGTGCTTTAAGAAACCAGATTTCCAGACTGCTTGTTCTGGAATCCAGTTCTACATTAACTAACTGTAAGAGTTTTAGCAAATCAAGAATCGATAGACAGTACCCCTTACACATGACACACTGTTTTAGATTAAACGTATGACACCTAAAGCTTGTAGTATAATTATCAGGGGGGCTATACGGCCTGATATTACTTATGAAGGGTTTAGATAAATATGGATAAAACACCTAGAACAGATACCTTATACACAGGACGTATTCGAAACTCCTTTAAGTCACCTGTTCTGAAAGGGAAAGGAATCCCTTTCCTCTGCTAAAGAAGAGTAACAAATTATAAGCTTATTTAACCAGGTATGGTTAAAAAAGCACCCTGAACTGGGCCCAAATTCCCCCCGGCCCCCAGTCCCACATCTGATCTCCAGTGAAGTAGCTGGCTTACTTCCAGAGTAGAGGCTGAAGCCACTCAAACTGCAGGTTAGAGGGGGTTCCTAAACTTACAACGGTTCCAGGAGGAGACTGCTTGTATTAAAAATAATTAAGAATATCTAAAACACATAGTTAACCTTTTGAAGTCAGGGTCACAGATGATAACCATGTCTTACCCAAAAATGTCTCTTGGACACAGCAGTGGAGAAACAGGAGGCCAGAATGGTCTGGACCTGAAATCTTGGCTTTTCTGGAATCAGAATTCAACACTTTTAGGAAGGAGGATGAGTTTTAAAAAACCCATCAACGGTCTACTCTCCCACTTACACACTCAAGAGGGGACTCCAGTTGTAAATTTCTCCCCCTATGTAGGTTCCTAGTTTGGGAATGATAATTCTATAGTGCATTACTCATGCTTACACACTCCCGCAAAACTTTTTAAAAACATTCATTGTAACGGCAATTTCATAAATGTGGTGAGGGTTTCTATAAAGCTATCCTGACAGGGCACGAAATGCGAGCAGAATTTGCAAATATGGGGTTTGCAGCTTGATTTTCCTCGGACCTCCAGGCAGCTTCAGGCGAATTCGAGTTCCTCCCAAAACAAAGTCCCCTCAGTACGCGGAATCCCGTTCTCAAATCTTGGCCTCAGGGCGGACGGTGGTGGTCAAAGGAAGCTCTCAAGGTTAGGGGCTTTCTCTAACCCAAGGAGGGCTCGCGGGGGAGGGCTGCTGGTCTGGGGGACCCGAAGGAGACTTGGCTGGAGGAGGCCCGGGTGCGCGCGCCCACCGGCCGACTCCCGGGGACCCCGACGCGCCTCCCCGCCCTCCCGGGGCCCGCCTCGCTCACCGAGGTGGCCGCCGACGACGGTGACGGCGATCTGGTCCATGAGCACCGCCCGGAAGCGCACGTCCTGCTCGGAGCAGCGCTGCCGGAGGGCGCGCAGGATCTGCACCTGCGGGTAGTCCTCGCGGATGCGCCGGTCCGTCAGGAACCAGAGCTGGGAGCACATGGCTGCCAGGGCGGCAGCGCCCGGCGCGCCGCGCGGCCACCCTCGACGCCCCGGGCCGCTCGCTCGGGCTGGCGGGCGGCCGGCCGGCCGGCGTCCGGAGCGAGCGCGCGCCGCGGCTCCGCTCCCGCCGGTGCGCCAGGCGCCTCTGCAGCCCTGACCCAGCGAATCTGCCCGGCCACTCAGCGCCGCCGCCGGCCCCCGTCAGCCAATCAGCGCGCGGCGGCGGGCGCGGGCCGGCCGCACGGCCAGCTGCAGAGGCGGCCTCGGCGGGCGGCGCCCGGGAGGGGCGGCGGGGCCCGGGGCCTGCGGCGGCCGGGGGAGGGGCGGCGGGCGGGGCTCCGGGCCTCGGGAAGCCCTCGGGCCGCCGGCTGGGGGTGGTGCGGCCGCGGGAGGGCATCCCCGGCCCCACCCGGGACCCCCACCGGTGGGCGTGGCGCCGCGGGCCTGGGTGGGGCGGCGTCCCGCAGGGCGGAGAGGATGTCCCGACTCCCGGACTAACGATGCGCTGCGGGATGCGTCCCGAAGGCGGTCGCGAGCATCCGGGGCCGAGGACACCGGTGAGCCCCGGCAGAGTCCGGAACCAGGGCCTCCGGGACGTCCCAAGGGGAATTCTGGGGCCTGACGAAGGTCACCCGGCTAGGCCCCCAGTTGGACCGTGGCTTTGGAATTCTTGGCGGAAATCCTGGCCTGGAGCTGGGGGTGAGGGTTGAGGGGAGTTGGGTTTTAGCCGCCTCCCATTCGAATCATTTGAAGGTGCATTTCTCAGGGTCTCAGATATTCTTACACTGGACGGCACCTCCTAGTTTGCGGCAGCTCGGGGCCTCAGACCCTCAATATGATGAAAACGGGTCTAAGACTTCTTTTAGAGAGACCACTGCCTGGTCTTTCCCCACCATCCCCCGCCCCTGGCCGTACCACTGAGTCATCTTTAAATACCGGCCTTGGTCCTAGCCAATTACAAATTCTGCCTGCAAACAATGTTTGAAGCCAGATCCTTTCTAAATAACTTCAAGGCTGAAGTTAGCCATCTTTAAGATTGCATTTGCTCTTCCAGCTCATGAAAATGTCTTTTTTGGGGGGGCTTAGGGAAGCAAGAGTAATTTCAATGCAGGCCCAGCAGTGACAACTTAGAAACCTATTTTAAGATGTCTCAGGTAAAGTATAGGTTTCACTGTAAGTATTAGGCAGATGTGTGCGTTTACCCACTGGATATGCCTTTAGAAAAGTTATATCTAAATGGCATTTCAAAAAATTAATTCTTTAGGGGCGCCTGGGTGGCTCAGTGGGTTAAAGCCTCTGCCTTCGGCTCAGGTCATGATCCCAGGGTCCTGGGATGGAGCCCCGCATGGGGCTCTCTGCTCAGCAGGGAGCCTGCTTCCTCCTCTCTCTCTCTCTGCCTCCCTCTCTGCCTACTTGTAATCTCTGTCTGTCAAATAAATAAATAAAATCTTTTAAAAAAATTAATTCTTTAAGTATCCCCATATATTTTCTTAAAGTATCAATAAACTAGTGCCCTATAGATTAGTATCTTCCAAAACTATCTTCTTTTTTTTTTTTTTTTAAGATTTTATTTATTTAATTTAGGGGTGTCTGAGTGCCTGGGTCAGTTGAGTATCTGCTTTCAGCTCAGGTCATGATCTCCGGGTCCTGGGAACCAGCCTCCCTGCTCAGCGGGGTGTTTGCTTCTCCCTCTTCCCCTGCAGCTCCCCCTGCTGTGCTCTCTCTCTTTCTCTGTATCAGATTTTTAAAAAAAAAATTTTTTTAAGATTTTATTTATTTATCTTAGAGAGAGAGCGAGTGCCAGCGCATGAGTGAAGGGAGGGGCAGAGGGAGAGGGAAAGAATCTCAAGCATACTCCACCTGAGTGTGGGGGAGGAAACCAACCAAAGATTGTGACCTGAACCGAAATCAAGATCCCTGCACTCAATTGACTGAGCCTCCCAGGAGCCCCCAAAACTATCTCCTAACCACGGATCACCTTAGGCACTAGAGACTCCATCTGCTACATTGACCATTTCCTTGGTACTTCATGGTGTTCATTTTGTTGACCCTGGGGCTCCCTATGAGGCTTTCCCAGTATCACACATAGGATGTCTATGAGAGGATGAACCATAGTTTGCTGGAACAATTGTTTACTAAAAGCTAGATAAGAGCCAATAAATTTAGGGTGCCTGGACGGCTTGGCTGGGCGAGTGACTGCCTTCGGCTCAGGTCATGATCCCAGAGTACCGGGATCGAGTCCCACATCCGGATCCCAGCTGCACAGGGAGTCTGCTTCTCCCTCTGACCTTCTCCCCTCTCATGGTCTCTCTCACTCTCTCTCTCTCTCTCTCTCTCTCTCAAATAAATAAAATCTTAAAAACAAAAAGTAAATTTAGAAGTTGCTTATAATCCGTGTTCATAGTCATCTATGCAAAATTAGAACGTGTAAGTCATAGGCAGATGCATGTCCATATCCAGGCTTGAGGAGAGCAGGGTCTGAGGACCCAGGTGGTGTCATTACTTCCTCAGTGTCTTTGCTGTCTCTTGCTAGCAGGTTCCTACCACCCCTATGGTCTTCCTTTCCCAGGATGGGTGACAGGTGAGGACCTGGGACAGCGGCATATCCAGTTAGGAGATGGCTACACTTGTTCAGGTATAATGTTTTGTTATACTACCAAAATTTGTCAAGCACGGAGATACTGTTTCGGGTATAGGATTATCTTCCCAGATGTGTTGTTATATTTCTCCGTAGATGACTCCCAAATTCAAGTTTAATTTGACATCTCTGGAGCTTCAGCAATGTGAAAGGATGCTGTCCTGACATCACCTCAACATCCCTAATACTAAACTCATTTGTTTCCCCTCCATTCCAGATTCTATTGTCTTAATAAGGAAAATATATGATCTCACATAGCAAGAAATTTAGAGATAGGTCAGCTTTAGGATTAGTTCATTTAACAGCTAAATAACACTATCAGGGGACCCAGATTCTTTACATCTTTTCACACTGATATTCTTAGGTTAGTGTCCCTCATAGTTACAGAATGGTTGCCACAATTCCACCTAACACATCCATCCACATAATGTCTGGCAGAAGTAGAGAGACTGTTTCTTCCCATGTGCCCCTTTTTATTGCCACGGAAAACCTGTCTCAGAAGACCTCAAGCCAATTTTCCACAGTCTCTTTTTTTTTTTTTAAAGATTTTATTTATTTATTTGACAGATAGAGATCGCAAGTAGGCAGAGAGGCAGGCAGAGAGAGAGGAGGAAGCAGGCTCCCTGCTGAGCAGAGAGCCCGATGTGGGGCTCGATCCCAGAACCCTGGGATCATGACTTGAGCCGAAGGCAGAGGCTTTAACCCACTGAGCCACCCAGGCGCCCCTCCCACAGTCTCTTATGCCCACATCTAAACCAGTCGCCATCAAGAAGGAAGAAACTATCATGAAAGGCTTAAATTAATTATGATTTGCCCCTGTGGCTTGGAATTAGAATCCCTTCCCCCAAGCACATGTAGAGTTAGGTGAACAACCTGGGCAAAGTGAGAGTTTTCTTAGGAGAAATGAAGGGAGAAAAGATGTTAGAAGAATCACAGATGGTAATAGGGTAATAGGGTGGTACAGATGGTAATAGGGTAAACATGCCAGGTAAGTTAGGCTGTAGTAACTAATGATCTCAAAGTGACTAATAACAAGAAAGTGTTTTGTTCTGTTTTTCTTGAAATACCCTACATGTTCATGGCTGGTCAGCTTGACTACATTCTAGTTTGTCTTCATGCTGTGACCCAGGCTTATCAAGTGACCCTTATCCGGGACAATGTTGGTCTCGTGAAAGAAAAGTGATAATGGTGAATGACACACTGGCTCTTCATACCTCTGCCTGGAACTGATACATTTTCTTGGCCAACTCTGACATTCACAGAGAAGGACCGCAAACATTTGTGAACCACCATAACCAAAAATAGAGTCTTCCATACTCAAGGACCAGGAATCGTCAAACCCTGCTCTGCTTATCGTGTCTCCTCTCCTTAGGGTTCCCAAGGGGACCTTACATGAAAAAGAAATTGGAATTGAAACCAAAGGATCATTTTATTCATACCTGAGCTAGCACCCAGTAACCTCTAGAATAGAACTCTGCCAGAAGACGAAGTTGAATGACATGGCGTAGGTTTCAGGCTGCTTCCTAATTCCCTGTTCCCCTTCCACCCTCTAATTTTGGGGCCAGGATGCGTGGGCGTGCCTGCAGAAAGAGGGGAGGAGATGATCAGATCTGCGAAGCAGACCAGATTTACTCTTCTAAGTATGTTCTGGAGACTGAGCTGGGCCTATTCAGCAGGAAATGGGGAGCAAGGCAACACACGGCCTTGTGACCTCTTAACCCAAAATGACCCCAGCCACGTAAAACGTGCATTCATTGATATCCTGGGCTCTGACCAATCTGATTAACAAGTTCTTCCTTCTGAGGAAACCATTAAGAAGACAGGACATGGGGTGCTTGGGTGGCTCAGTGGGGTTAAGTCTCTGCCTTCTGCTCAGGTCATGGTCTCAGGGTCCTGGGATTGAGCCCCACATCGGGCTCTCTGCTCAGCAAGGAGCCTATTTCCCCCTCTCCCTCTCTCTGCCACTCTGCCTACTTGTGATCTCTCTCTCTGTGTGTGTCAAATAAATAAATAAAACCTTTTTTAAAATTAAAAAAAAAAAAAGACATGGCAGAAGAGAAGGGAATTCCTTCCTATGTTCCACATTCTCAATTCTGTTCTCTCTTACTTTGTTAGGAAGAGGAATGGAAAAGACCACTAGGCATCATCTATTTGCTTTCTCATCCGGACTGTAAGCCTCTTCTTAAGAACTGGGGCCAATTCTTCATGATGCCATATATCATTGTTTCTACCTGTAGTAGGTACTCAGGTATCTGTTGATAATAGTGATGACTGTCATTAAGAGACATCATTGCTATTTCAGTTGACAAAACTGTGGTCAGTTACAGATATACAGTTGGCCTTTGTGTGTGTGTGTGTGTGTGTGTGTGTGTGTGTGTGTGTTTTGAGATTTTATTTGTTTATTTGTCAGAGAGAGAGAGAGAACACAAGCAGGGGGAGCAGCAGGCAGGAGGAGAAGCCAAGTCCCACATTGGGCTCCTTGCTCAGTGAGGAGCCCAATGTGGGACTTGATCCCAGGACCCTGGGATAATAACCTGAGCCGAAGGCAGATGCTTAACTGACTGAGCCACCTAGGTGTCCTTACAGTTGGCCTTTGAGTAACATGACAGTTAGAGATGCCAACCCCTTGCATAATCACAAGTCCATATATAATTTTTGACTCCCTAAAAACTTTACTAATAGCCTTCTATTGGCCAGAAGTCTGATAATGTAAACAACATATATTTTGCATATTTTATGTATTTTCTGCAATATTCTTACAATAAAGTAAGCCAGAGAAAAGAAAGTGTTATTAAGAAAATCAAAAGGAGGGGCGCCTGGGTGGCTCAGTGGGTTAAAGCCTCTGCCTTCAGCTCAGGTCATGATCTCAGGGTCCTGGGATCGAGTCCCGCATCGGGCTCTCTGCTCAGCGGGGAGCCTGCTTCCTCCTCTCTCTGCTTTCCTCTCTGCCTACTTGTGATCTGTCTCTGTCAAAGAAATAAATAAAATCTTTAAAAAAAAAAAAAAAAAGAAAAGAAAATCAAAAGGAGGGATGCCTGGGTAGCTCAGTCAGTTGAGCGTCTGACTCTTGATCTCAGGGTCATGAGTTCAAACCCCGTGTTCAAGGCAACTTAAAAAAATCAAAAGGGCAGGAAAATGCATTTATAGTACTATATTATATTTATTGAAACAAATCCATGTATAAATAGATGCATACCGTTCAAGTCTGTTGTTCAAGGGTCAAGTGTACTAGGTCTTGTAACCCGGGATTCTGGAGCTATATTTCTCATCTTACTTCTAACCTTCAGTACATATTGGCACAAAAGGATATTGAGATGTGGGTCTGGACAATGGAAAGAAAGTGATAGTCTTCATAAATATTACATATGACCCCGAGCAGATGAATGTGCCAAGTATACAGAAGATCAAAATGCAATTGACCTCAGTAAATTAGAGAAATGGTCATCAATGGCAGGTTAAAATGCACCAGGGAGCAAAAGAAACATCATACACTGAAAGAACTGGCCTGGCAGAAATGTGGCCAAAGAGAGCTGATAGATGTGGAAAACCGGTAACAGAATGAACAGAAAAATAGCAGGATATATTAACAGAAGACTATGTAGCCAAACTCATCTTCACATCCCTGGGACCTTGCATAGCTATGCCTGGCACACGGTGGACATTGTTAAATACGTATTGAAAAAAAATGTGTGATTTTGCCTTTGGTCAGATTGTCTATGCTGTTGCCTTCCTCTGAAAAGCCTCTGCATGACCAATTCTTTTTTTTTTTTTTTTTTTTAAAGATTTTATTTATTTGACAAACAGAGATCACAAGTAGGCAGAGAGGCAGGCAGAGAGAGAAGAGGAAGCAGGCTCCCCGCTGAGCAGAGAGCCCGATGTGGGGCTCGATCCCAGGATGCTGGGATCATGACCTGAACCGAAGGCAGAGGCTTTAACCCACTGAGCCACCCAGGCGCCCCTGTATGACCAATTCTTATCCATTCTTCAAGGCTCAGCTCAAATGCAACTCCTGTCATGTTGCCTTTCTTCAATTCACCCTACCCTCAGCTAGAGGAAAGCTCTTTGTTTCTGAATTTTCATAATAATCAATTAATATGTGCTAGCAATGAGTAAGTGTTCCAGTAATGGGCACTGGGTCATTACTGGGTGAATGGTAACTCAGATTAAGACAGTCCAGGACACATAATTGCAAATCACAGGATTAATGACTAACAGAAGTTATCTGAAATTCTAGAACCGTTAATCACCAGCTTTGACTCTCACTTTTTGTGTTCTAGTTTCTTCTCTCTTTGCTGTGTGTAATCCAGACATCAGCATTTCCCTCATCCTCTCACTCAGACTCACCCCCTTATGCCCTCTCATACCAACAAGAGAGAATTTGCTGAAGGGGAGACATGGTTTACATCACGTAGGCTGCAGGGACTGAAGACCCCCTAGGACATACCTCTTTCTCTCTCCTTCTGCCACAGGGGTCTCTTCCCATCCCCCCCCCCACAACCCCCCATCAGCCTCCAGCCTTGCTGCTCTTCACCACGGCCACCCCCAGCCCTCTGCAAATTCCTCAACCCTTTATTATGCAGAGAAATGCCTTTTATCCTAGTTTCTTTCTACTTTCCAAACCTGTGCCTGACAAATCACCCGTGTTTAGCAAAACAGAAATTCTTCCAATTAGAGGACGCATCCTCTTCAGGAAATAGAAGGCAATTATAAATAATATTTTTCTTCTGCAAACATCATTAACACAAAATGACTAAGTGGGGTTTGTCCATGAAGCCTTCCGGCAAAGCTTGTTGGAGTCAGCTTTTGAAGATGACAGCGGACACAACTTTGCAAGGCAGAGTACGTTCAGGAGTTTGCTGACTGCCAGTTGCTGGCTGTCCTGGATGAACTCGGCTCTCAGAGCCAGGTTTGGAAGTTCATAGTTCTCAAGGGGCTTTCCCTCTCTCTCTCTTGCGACAAGGCTGCATGATTGCTTATCCCGCTGTCCGCCAGCCCCAGCCTTGTTCAGCTCTCATCATTAAAGACAGACGGTATGGGCGCCAGGGTGGCTCAGTGGGTTAAGCCTCTGCCTTCGGCTCAGGTCATGATCTCGGGGTCCTGGGATGGAGTCCCGCATAGGGCTTTCTGCTCAGCAGGGAGCCTGCTTCCCCCTTTCTCTCTGCCTGCCTCTCTGCCTACTTGTGATTTCTCTCTCTGTGTGTCTAATAAATAAATAAAATCTTTAAAAATATATAAATAAATAAAGACAGTGGTTTTCTCAGCCTTTCCTAGCTCCTTAGCTGTTACTGACTGAATAAGAAATTCTATTAGAAAACCTAACACCATCTTTCCTTCCCTCTCACATTAGGGTACACACTATGCTGTAGTAAGAGAACCCAAAGATGGTGGCTCAATAAGAAATGTATTTCTCTCTCCTTCAGTAGTCCAGTAAAGAAGATGTCTGGGATGAGGAGGGTGCTCTGCTTTACTGGTTCATCCCAGGATCTTGGTTCCGTTCATCTTTAGTGTGCCACCTACCCCAGGGCATGGTCATTGTTGGCATGTCTGAGGCTGGCTCTCTTGGCCACATCTGTGTTCTAGACCTCTGGAAGGAGACAGAGAGGAAAAAGAAAGTAGAGAAAGAGCGGCTTCCCTTAAATGCTATAACATGAATGTTATACTCCTAATTTCCATTCACACAAACTTCCTTCCCAAGAACTTGGTGCCATGGTCGCATCTACTGCAAGGGAGGCTGGAGACTGTACTTCCTGACTGGGGATGTATATTTCAGCTAAAACTCAGTGTGGGGAGAGAAGGGTTTCTATTACTAGAAGGAGGAGGAGAAATAGACATGAACATGGTTAATAGCTCCCACCATACCTCCCTACCCCCTTGTGGGAAAAACATCTTAGCATGGCACAGGAGATTCTTGTCACTCAGGTAATACCCAGTTTCTTGAAATGCCCTGAATGTGCTTCTCCATGTCCCACCTCCATGACTGTTCATGGTAAATTGTTCTCACTTTCCCATGCTGGCTAGAATCAGCTCAACTAACATCTTCTCCAGGAAGTCTTCCTAAACCTTTGTTTAGAGTCAGTGACCCTTCTTTGCGCTCCCATAACACATGATGCATTTCTCTCCTTTGGCACTCATCAAAGTCCTCCAGCATCTGCACACAATTGAGATCATCTCTTTATGCTCTTTCTCCATCTAGATTATAAGCAATTTGAGAGCAATTATGCTGTGTCTCAGTCGTATTTGTACCCTTACTACCTAAACTGAGCTGAATTCCTTTTGCCTGCCGGTGGATGAAGTAAGTTGTACCATCGCCTGACCACCTCCCCCACAGGCATGCCCACTGAGTTATAGTTCTCATCTGTAATGGCCAGGCTGAATAAGTGGACATTTCTTCTTCCCATTTGGACAAAGTACTAGCCTGAAACCCCTGCTGGCCTAAGACCCTGATCCTCTTTTAGCTCTCTGCGCTCCTTCTGGGGAGCCCAGGACCTGTTCTTGTTACTTTCTAGGGGCTGACTGCCAACCTAGAACCAGGGTATAACTGCCATTTCCTGCCATTGATCTTGGACCCTTCAGTTGCTAGGCTTCACCTGCTATGTACCTCTTTGATACCATGACCAGCTGGAACCAGTCCTGGCATATTTTTTATCTCAGGACATTGACAAATGACCCTTCAGTTATGTCAGTTTTCCCCAGTTCTGCTCTTAGTGGTCTGTGGCCACTTTCCCCTCATCACTGGTCATCGTGATAAAGTTCTGTTATGCCTGACCTATGAATGAATCTGCCCATGTTAGAATTAATAAGGGGCACCTGGGTGGCTCAGTGGGTTAAGCCTCAACCTTCAGCTCAGGTCATGATCCCAGGGTCCTGGGATCAAGCCCCGCATCTGGTTCTCTGCTCAGCAGGGAGCCTGCTTCCTCCCTCTCTCTCTGCCTGCCTCTCTGCCTACTTGTGATCTCCGCCTATCAAATAAATAAATAAAATCGTTAAAAAAAAGAATTAATAAGTATTTTTGGTACCTTCTGTTGACGTAAACTGGTCCAAGATAGGAATGGATTCTTAGCTTTGTAGCATATCGATAACTGGCGCAAAATGATATATACTTTTCTTTATACAGATTTTTTTGGAAGAAAAAATCCAAGTGTATAAATATATTTTTTATTTATTTTATAATTTACATACCTTATATAAAATAATGTACATTATAAAATAAATAGATATTTTTAAAAGTATATATATATACACATAGCTTATATATAAATATTTGAGTATGCAAAACCAGTGTATTGAGCAGGTTACTCATTTTGCAAACATGTTTTATTTTACAAAAGAATTTACCAGTAAAATCCTAAGAATTACTATGTCCCTCTTTTGGTAGAACTTTAGTGACTGTTCAGTGAGGAAGAATTCCCAGTTCAGATGGATGGGTTTTTTGTATACCAAAGCTTTTTGGTATACCATCTCTTTTGAATACCAAAGCAATGGGTCAGAAGCAAGGAGATTGAACCATGAAAAGTCAGGAATTTGGTCAAATCATCCAAAGACCTTGGTAATGTCCAGGGAACAGAGAGGCAGGTAACTCCAGTGTTTTCGAAATGAAGATGCATTGGCAGTTTGATTTGTAATGAACTAAAGGTTCCCAACCCTAAAAGGTCACTTGAGAGTTAGAGATAGGTCTCACCTGCATAGGTCTGGTGCTCAGAACCCTTCCAAATTTCCCTGCCTGTATTTGTTAGAAGTCATTCATTTATAAATGACAGAAATTCTATTTAAACTAACATAAGTGAAAAGGGCATGTGCTGGCAGCTTACAACCCTTGGAAGTCTAGGAGTGGATGTCAGTCATGGCTAGATCTAGGGGACTAAAAAAAAAGACATTTTCTGGGTTGGTCTTTCTCACTCTTGCAATCCCTTTCCCTTCCTTTTTCTCACTCTCACCCGGCTTCTTTCTTACATTGACCCCATTCTCTTCTACAAGAGATTCCTCTACACTGCAGAGAAGATGGCCCCCATTCACATTCTTAACGCCCTTTATCTGGAAGGCCAGATGACTTTTCCTCTACTCTCAATAAAAAAGCAATCCTCAGGGCGCCTGGGTGGCTCAGTCTTAAGTGTCTGCCTTCGGTTCCCTGCTTGGCGGGAAGCCTGCTTCTCCTTCTCCCACTTCCCCTGCTTGTATTTCCTCTCTTGCTGTCTTTCTCTCTGTCAAGTAAATGAATAAAATCTTGGAAAAAATTAATTAATTAATTAAAAAACAATCCTCCAGAAGAACTTGATTGACTGACCCCTGGGTTAATCATGGCTAAGGCCATGGGGTTCCTTGGTTGGCTAGGTCCTCTGGCTGTGAAGTGGGGTTGCGGTCCTTGGCAGCCTCCCCAGACTCACACAGGGCAGACAAAACAAGAAATACCACCACACTCTTCTTTTTAACACTTGAGGGTCCACTGTAAATATTTCAAGGGTTCCCACCAAACAGTCCAGGCTTCACTTCATACTTCTGACGTTTCTACTCATAATGTTCCACACTGATCGCTGCTTGCCTGCTGTGTGGATCCCTGCTCCATGGCTCCCTCAGACTGCTTATCCCTTACGCTGATACCACTTAGCTGGACCATGGTTGGCCACACTCTGCTGCTCAGGCCAATGCCTGTGTTGTGTCTCTTTCCGGGACCTCCTCGCACTAGAGATGTGTTTGGAGATGTGCCCATGAGCTTCCCAGATGATTTGACAGGGGCCAGTGCATGGGGCTGTGCAGTTATGCGCCATTGTCTAAGTTGTTCAGTGCATAAGGGCACCGGGTGAGGGCACACATGGGGACCAAAGTCTAGCACGAAATGTAGTTCACTCCGGTTGAGCTACCCACCCACCCACCCACATGTGTTCCCCAGGAGGAAGAAGTGCTTCTTCTATTTCTGCAAGGGTGTGGAGCCCTGCCCCCAGGAGCTGTGACTGCCCCTAGGCCAGCACAAGCACAGCTCCAAAGGTTTCCTCTGAAAAGCAGAGAAACAGCTCCCTCTCTTATTTGTGAACATATCAGAGAGATGCCACTATCTTAAACATAATGCGGATGGGAAGGTCACAGGATCCGCAGGGATCACAGGCCCACCCCACCCTGTCATCCAGCCATAACATCTTCATACGCCCTTCCAATATGCCAGAGAGAAAAATCATGAAAAACCATCACGAACGTGACAAGAGTTGTCAAAAGCACACAGACATCAGCTACGGAAATTATAAAGCATTTTGGGTTCCATGTTTTCTGAAAAAGGCACACTTCTTATCAAGATAGAAAATAAAATCTAGGGGCGCCTGGGTGGTTCAGTCAATTAAGCGTCTGCCTTTGGCTCAGGTCATGATCCCACGGTCCTGGGATTGAGCCCCGCAAGGAGCTCCTTGCTCAGTAGGGAGTCTGCTTCTCCCTCTCCCTCTGCTGTTCCCCCTGCTTGTGCTCTTTCTCTCTGTCAAATAAATAAGTTAAATCTTAAAAAACAAAGAAAAGAAAAGAAAACCTAAGGGAAGGAAAGAAAAGAAAAGAAAAGCCTAAGGAAAAGACTGTGAGAACCATCTCATGGTGATATCCACCACCCCGCGTCAGAGTAAGCCATGTTCACATCTAGTCACACATTCGCATTGAGTCGGCTCTCCCACGTACCGAGGCAGGCCTTTCCACATGACATGCAGCTTAAACGTGCCCCTCTCCGGCTCCCCAGAACATATGGAAGACACCGATGGCGACTGGCTGCGTTTGACAAGTGTCGGTAATAGCTGCCCGTTGGTCCCCGAACTACCATACTAACCAGACTTGGAGCCCTGATGCTGCAGGTGGCTGTTGACCCCACATCCTTCCCGTCGTGAAGAAAGCTCTCCTAGGAATCTGGAGTCCCGCCTGCTTTCCCCGAGCCCCTCAGACATAGAAAATGTGGCTATGGCTCGAATTCTTTTCCTGGAAGGCTCCTCCGCAGTCAGGCAGCACGGGAGGCACAGCTGTGAATAATTCCTTTTCCAACTGATCTGCCCGCAGAGAACAGTCCTATACCTCCTGAACTGAACCCGCAGTGAAAAGCAAAAGTGGCATGAGTCACACCCATGACTTGGGAAAACTAAGGGTCATGGCCTCTGTCCCTTCTTGCCTGGGAAGTGGGCAGCACACTGTGCGGTATTTATTTTGTCGTGTCTGGTGGATTATTTTTTAAATCTTGATGCCAGCTAATGCATCAGATAATCTAGTCATGTTCGGTAGAAGAGAGAGTACTAGACACAGCAGATACGAGGTGGGATATATGGAAGGCAGCACCAGGAGGAGGGAAAAAAAACCACTAAATTAGGAGACCCAAGTTCTTGTCCTACCTCACTAGTACTGCTGAGTAGCCAGCAATGGGATGTCAGAAAAGTCACCGCACCCTCGCTAGCCTTCTGCGCAAGATGAAGAAATTTAAATTAGAGACCCCTTAATTTAAATTAAATAACCTCTGGGGCACCTGGGTGGCTCTGTCAGTTAGAGTCCCACTTTTCATTTGGCTCAGGTTGTGATCTCAGGATGGAGGTGGAGCCCCATGTCGGATTCTGGGCTCTGCGGGGAGTCTGCGGGACAGTCTCTCTCTCCCTCTGCCCCTCCCCCTCTAAAATAAATAGCTAAATCTTTAGAAAAATTAATTAATTCGGAGCCTGGGTGACTCAGTCTGTTAAGCACCTGCCTTGGGCTCAGGTCATGATCCCAGGGTCCTAGGATGGAGCCCAGGTTCCCTGCTCAACGGAAAGCCTGCTTCTCCCTTTGACTGCCACTCCCCCTACTTGTGTTCTCTCCTGTGCTCTGTCTCTCTCTCTTAAATAAATAACTAATTTTAAAATTTTTAATTAATTAATTAATAACCTCTAAAGCCAGCTCTAAAATACTATATAATAGCATATTTAGGGATGCCTGGCTGGCTCAGTCGTTGGAGTACAGGGCTCTTGATCTCAATGTTGTGAGTTTAAGCCCTGCAGTGGATGTAGAGATGATGTAACATCTTTTTCTTTTTTTTTTGAGATTTTATTTACTCATTGGAGACAGATACAGAGTGAGAGAGAGAGAGAGAGAGAGAGCACATGAGCAGAGGTAGAGGGAGAGGAAGAAGCAGACTCCTGCTGAGCAGGGAGCTCAGTATGGGGCTCGATCCCAGAACTTGGAGATCATGACCCGAACTGAAGGCAGATGCTTAACCATCTGAGCCACCCAGGTGCCTCTGACTTAACATCTTTAAAAAATAAAATAAAATATTATAATTCCATAGTGTCATTGGAAGTGTCGCTAGGTATTCAAGAAACTCATAGATAAACACCAGAAGCCAAGAGTAAATGAACTGAACTGGGCCAACTACAAGGAGGAAACAAGCCCAAGTTGCTGAAGACCAGAGAGACAGCCGCAAAGTCTGCCCTTGTTTTCCTGGGAGGAGTGTGATGGCTGGGCACAGCGGCCATGACAGATGGTAGTGGGAAAATACTTAGTCCCGGGTTCACTAAACTAAACGTTCCTTTCCGTCTAGGTGTGAGATTAAGATACATCTAAATATTATCTGTGATTTGCTTTTTTTTGCCTTTTGTCTCTTATCTCTCTAGAGAAATCTGTCCAAAAAGACATACTCACACAGTCAAGTTCTTCCTGTATCTATGGAGGCTGAGGTTGTACACAACATAACAGACCAGTGGTTAACACCAGCATAAAGAATTGTGTTGTTGTAGCCATTCTAGACATACCCAAATGTGGCCCAAAGGTTACTGGTTACCTCCCAGCCTTGCTTGATCTGTGGTCCTGTTCCTGTTCATAAGATATGATCTGTACTTTGCACAGATCCTATAGCACAGCTTGGGTTCCAAACGCCCCCACAGTTGTCTACAAGAATAGGAGAAGGATGCCTGGGTGGCTCAGTCGGTCTGACTCTGGATTTCAGCTCAGGTCATGATCTCAGGGTTGTGAGACTGAGTCCCACGACGGGCTCCGTGCTGGACATGGAGTCTACTTAAGAATCTCTCTCTCCCTCTCCCAATGCCCCCGGCCCCAAGCTCAATCTCTTTAAAAAAAAAAAAGAGACACTTTTTCAGACTTACCTTGTTCTTGGTGACCATCACTGTTTTCAGGACAATTGGTCAGGTTTTTTTGTTTTTGTTTTTTGTTTTTTAAGATTTTATTTTTAAGTAATCTCTGGACCCAACATGGGGCTCAAATTTACAACCACAAGATCAGGAGTGACGTGCTCTACTAACTGAGCCAGCCAGATTATTGCCTTTTGGGAGGAGGACCACAGAGGTAAGGTTTGTTGAAAACACACACACACACACACACACACACACACACACACACACACTTCAACTGGGTAAATCTGATGATCTAATTCACTTTATTAACTGATTCCTGAGTTGGGCAGCACCCCACCTAACAAGTAGGAGCTGGAAGGAGTGAAGGAGTTGTGGAAGAGAAGATTTTTGTAAAAAGGAGGGTGGGGCAAGGACATTATTAGCAAAAGAAAGAAAAGAGTATTTTGGGTTAGGTCACTTTCCTTCAGGGTAGAGTAGGTAATCTTATCATGAAGGTTGCCTCCAGCTTTCTTTGGGGGGTGGGGAGGAGGAGAAGCCCAGGTGACAGATTATCTCAGGGTGGTTATCAGAAAAAAATTTTAAGCAAGCTCTGTGCCCAACGTGGGGCCTGAACTCACAATCTCAAGATCAAAGAGTCTCATGCTCTACTGGCTGAACCAGCCAGGCACCCCAGAAGATTCTTGACTGCCTGTTAAGACTACATTTCCAGGGCGCCTGGGTGGCTCAGTGAGTTAAAGCCACTGCCTTTGGCTCAGGTCATGATCCCAGGGTCCTGGGATTGAGCCCCACATCTGGGCTCTCTGCTCAGCAGGGAGCCTGCTTCCTCCTCTCTCTGCCTGCCTCTCTGCCTACTTGTGATCTCTCTCTGTCAAATAAATAAATAAAATCTTTTAAAAAAAAAAAAAAGACTACATTTCTGGGGGGAGGTTGAAACTGCAATTAGGTTAGGTATTAAGCCTGGGTTTGGTGAATTGGCCTAAGTAACACCATTTGGGGTATGTGGTTTTCTTTTTCTTTTTCTTTTTCTTTTTTAAGATTTTACTTATTCAAGAGAGAGAGACAGGTAGAGAGGGAACACAAGCAGGGGGAGCAGGAGAGGGAGAAGCAGGATCCCCGCCGAGCAAGGAGCCTGATGTGGACTTGATCCCAAGATCCTGGGATCATGACCTGAGCCGAAGGCAGACATTTAACCAACTGAGCCACCCAGATGCCCCTGTGGTTTTCTTTTTAACAGATGCCATTTTTCATCACATTAAACCAAGGGAATATACTGTCAATATGACTTGTTACTACTGATGTTGACCTTGGTCACCTGAGATAGTGTTTGTCAGGTTTTCTACTGTAAAATTACTCTTTACCCTCCCTTTCCATACTGTACTTTTTGGAAGGCTGTTACTCTGTGCAGCACACTCAAGGGGAGTTTAGTTCTACCTCCTGAAGGACAGAACATCTACATAAATTATTTGGATTTTTTTTTTTTTTTTTTTTTTTGCCCAGGACATTTGTCCCTTCTCCCCCTTTAACCTGTTTATTCAATAATCATTGGTATCATTTAGGGACTTCTTATATTCTACTGCTATTCCTATCTGCAAAAGAAATGGAAATGTAGTTTTTTTTCTGGTCACATGCTCAGAATTCAGGAGAGAATCACATTGGATTCTCATGGATATTTATTCTGTGCATTGGGTTATAAC